AGCAAACGACGCAGGCCGGCACTGGGAAGTTATCGGTGCTAGGGGCGCCGAGTGTGATGTATTCTGAGCTCGTGCCGCAGCGCCCGGGAAATGTTCGGGTTGCCGTTTGAGGCGACGACATTCGGTATATATCCAATGGCGCCGCGGGACTCGCGCTGCAGACGCGGACTACGAATGAATAGACCAGAATATGTAGATGGGACATCAGCTCGAGAATTGATTATGTGGCTTATGACCTTTAAACTGTCACAATGCTCGGCGGAAGAAAGGACGTGGCGAATGGGACACGCGCACCTTCATTTGTCGCGGTTTGTTTAGAGGAGCCGGCCGCTCTGTCGTTTTCACTAGGCGGCACACAAACGCGCGCGATTCATCAGCGTTGCGGCGAATGCGGCTAATGGCACTTTGATGGCAAAGGATGATAGAGCTACCCGACAAACCTTTTCCAGAGGTTCCAAATGGAATCGATAAAATGCTGTTTGTGCCGACACGAGTTCTGTTTATGACCGTCCGAATCGTTACAAGGCTACATCCGATCATTTTGAGTTGAAGGTCAGTTTCAGCGTTCGTTGGTATTTCGATTGTTCGTAACGATAAATAGGCTCTTTCGCGCCTATAAAATATTTTGAATGAAAGCTGATGTTCTTCTATGAAATTTGTTCTCGTGAACAAATTTGACTGTCGGAACTTGCCTGACAAATTTGTTTTCCTTGCACATTTTGGAAAATCTCCGCCACAGTTTTGATCGAATAGTGTTCTATCAGTTATTCCTTTTTCTCGGTGCTCTGATAGAAGGCTTCTGAGGGAGAGCTTGATGAACCATTTTGAAATATGCAATGAAGGTGCACGTTAGTATGCTGTGAAGAAATTGGATTGTATTCGTTCGCGCATAGAAACACTTTAAGTTAGCGTTTTGCACGACCACCGTAAAAATCCTAAAATTAAGATTCAGTCACGTACTTTTGCGCCAGGCTATCAACCCCAAATGGGACTTTAATCTTTGCAGAAAATTAGATCATATTGTATGATCTAAAAATCTAGTAATGACTTTTTCTCCATTGAGTTTGCGGAATGTTTGAGACTATAAAAAATGTACGAACATAAAAAAAAGGCTGTGCAACAAGGATAAAAAAAAATGGAAGAACATGAGTGTCGAAATTATTTGCATAACCCAAGCTCGCCGGGCGGATACACTCTAAAAAATGCCCCTGCGTCTACTTTCCCACACAACACTCGGAGAGTCAATCACCGCAACTTACGGAGGCAGCTCAGCGAATGACGATGCCGAAACATATGTTTAGACCAAAAAACGCAGTCTGAGTTGTGACATTATGCAATGCAAAACGTCACGCTTGCATTGCTTAATGTCACAACTCAGACTGCGTTTTTTGGTCTAAACATATGCTTCGGCATTGTCATTCGCTGAGCTGCCTCCGTAAGTTGCGGTGATTGACTCTCCGAGTGTTGTGCGGGAAAGTAGACGCACGGGCGTTTTTTTAGAGTACACATAACAAATGAAGGTATGAGTACTCTATGGGTTCTTTTTTTATAATTATAATCAATTGCCAGTCTCCTTGTCCTTGCTTCTTTGAAGAGGGAAGTCCGTTGAGCTGTTACCGACTGTGATCGTTATTCTCTTCTCCTAATCCCTTTTTTAATTATTTATTTATTGCGCAACTTAAAAGGGAAAAAGAAAATTAGAGCAATGGGCGTTCACGTTGATGAGATAAACTCAACATTTTGCAATGCGCAACCGAAATTGCGCATTGCATTGTAACCTTCAGTGTCAACCGAACGAACGATTTTTCTGAAACTTCGTTTATTGCCACCGACAGCCGCGACAAATGAGAACGGTTTTTTTTCTTAAAATTTTTTTTTATTGATTTTGTGAGTAAGGGTGTTCTCCTCAATGATTAATGGTTACGGGAACGCCATTATTTATTGGTGTCATGACAACTGAACGCCTCTACAATTTCCGCTATGCATATGTTGACAGTGGTTTTATTTTATGTTAGCGCAACAGTGCGTCGCGTGTTTCGGAGGAGACTCCCGCAATATCGAACGCACAGCGCGATTGAGAGAGGAGGAGGCGAGAGGGACTTCAGAACGTCGAGCTCTGGTGTGAATGATTAGTGGGTAGACCTAAAGCTAGCTTCCTTTGTCTCTACTCACTCTTCGAACGCTTTCGAACGCCGAACGCCGTCGTCCGGCATTTGTGTCTGAACGCCCTATAAACATTGCAATGGTAATGAATGCTTATGAAAGACGCGACGGACGCGTTACAATCAAGTCGGCAGACATCCTAACGAGAGAAGACACACAGCGCACAGTTCGCACAATTCGAACCCAGAATCACTTCGTAGTCCCTGGTTACGAGCGACCGGGCTTGGCCTAATGATGATGAATTCCTCGCACCGGGATTGGTCCGCGATTGTGTTTACCGAGTGAGGCCGCGATCTGATAGGCTGCACACTGCTAACGAGATAATTGGGACTTGCCGCACATTGCCGTTTTTTTTTTACATTCGCGTTCACTACGTTGCTCGCACACAGTGCACATATGCCTCGTCGAAAGCGGCGTGAAGCACAGAGCTGGAGATGCTGTCCCAAAGCCGAGTGTTCCTCGACTGATTAATAACGCCAGTAGGCGGCCTCTCATCAGGGGACACAGTGTGCCCGCGCACGCACACTCACGCGCCCACGCAGAGATCCGACAAGGCCTGCCCTAAATGGGTCCGACGGGCGGGATTTCCTGTCTCCGGCAGGCCCCGACAGACTTCGGAATGTCCAGCGGAAGAAGTACTTTGTCAGCCGGCACACTCCGATCTAGGGAAAGTGTTTCGCGCGGCATCCTGCCTCAGGAGAAAAATGGGCCTTCGACATTAACCAGACGCCGCCGCCATTGTTTGCTAAGTATTGCACCGCCGCACTTTTTTTTTTTTTTCACTTTTCAGGTGGTAACGACTTTGGCTTCCTGTGCCGTCATCCGTATCATCAAACGTTTAATGCTGGAAAAATCAGGCAGCTCCGTCGTTTCTGGCAGAGGAGAGAGAGAGCCCTTTCCTGGCATTTTCTGCTGACGATAGGTAGTTGCTAAATTGTTCCCAACGCGGCGCGATCCGTATCGTGTAACTCCCATTATCATCTTCACCTCTAGTACCGCAGGCATTCTAAATCGCAGCCCAACCCTGAGAGCCAGCCGGATCGATAATGTTTGCTTTCATTTTTTGATGTATGTAGTCTGCCTATACTCTATAAAAGGTAAGGGTCGGCGCTCGATAACGGTGATCTGTGTTAGATTTGATTCTGTAATATGTGTTGGCCACTGATATGAGAAGCGCCATAAATGCGCTGAAAAGATGCGAAACACTAATAACAGCTGAGAATATAGCATTTTTGTTTTTGAAATGTGCGTTTTGTTTACGTGTACATTATTAGGCTTTAAAGATTAGGGCTTCGTTCGATTCTTTTTTATGAAACGAAGTTTCGAAATATTTAATTATCAGTTCTTAATCTTTGAGCTTGTCGCGTATTCAAAACGTTTGTCCCTGAGCATAAACAAGAAAACAAAAAGTAGTGGTCTTCCTATATAATGGTCGACTAATATTTTTGAAACCGAGCATGCTTATTATAAACTAGAGTATTCATAAATAAAATTGCACAACAATGAAACAATAAAAACACGAGAGGATAAAAAATATGGTTCTTCCCTTGCCGTCTTAACTTAAAATAAGAACATCCCTATAATCCTTACACCAGTTTCAATAAGTTCGGTGTAGTGTGAAGCCCGTCATGAAAACTACTAGTTTTTAGGGGCCTTGATTTTGACGAATTCCGGAAATCTGATAAGGAATCGAAATTGCAGTTTTTCTCGTTGAAATTCCCCAGTTATTTCACCCTCTATATTATATTAGATGCCCGTCAAATATCACAACCTTGATTTAACTATGGAAATATTGGAACCACAAAACTAAGTTTTATTGCAGTATTTGCTTATTTTGGTATCGCGCTTGCTGTTTTTCGGGAGGTAGGAAAGGCTAATCTACTTCTGTTTCCAGCTTCGCGTTTTATGTAACCTCTAAAAATACATCTACTGTATTATCCGCGCGCGATTATTTAGCACGATGCGTTCCTAATTGCCGAGGACAAATATTTACTTGTTCACGCGCAACGGTAAATATTTTTTGCCTACAATATACCAGCCTGTGATTCTTAAGGTATTAGGGAATTTTTTTTTTAGTCTAGAGTGATCTAGAGTGATTAAGTCTTGTCAGTAATGTTATTGCAATGACGAAGCGCGTTCGTTTTAGAGTAATATAAACTTTTACGCGCCAAACCAACGAAGGGAATCCGGCACACCCTATAGCGAAGGACTGGGGATTCTACCACATGAGGATCTTTTGACGTGTAACCGAAGTATCGGTTACACGGCGCCTTATGCGGAATAAGCCTGCGTCGTATTTCAGGCAGGTCGTCCGGGATCCGAACCCGCAACTGCACTCTAAAGGAAGCCAGTGCGTCTACTTTCCCGCACAGCACTCGAAGAGAAAATCACCGCAACTTACGGAGGCAGCTCAGCGAATGACGATGGCGAAACATATGTTTAGACCAAAAAGCGCAGCCTGAGTTGTGACATTAAGCAATGCAAGCGTGACGTTTTGCATTGCTTAATGTCGCAACTCAGACTGCGTTTTTCGGGCTAAACATGTGTTTCGGCAGCGTCATTCGCTGAGCTGCCTCCGTAAGGTGCGGTGATTGGCTCTCCGGGTGTTGTGCGGGGAAAATACTAGACGCGCAGGCTTTTTTAGAGCGTGGGGATATGTAACCAGGCGATTTGCCTAAGAGCCACCGAGGCGGTTTCTGGAGTAACATCGAGACTAGAGTAATGATATCTAACGACGGTTCCGTCTAGCATACTATATGTATCGAGTGTATACAGTGACGGCACCAGAATAACCAAGCGCGTTCAGAGCAACCTATATGCTAAGACTGACGACTCACCTTCATGAACTCGACGCTTGACTCCAACGGGTTGTCGAAACGGAAGAGGAGAAGGAAGCTCTCTTCGAGGGGCAACAGCTGGGCTAACTGCGATGGAATGAGAACAGAAGCGTGTCTTAGTGCCGAAAGTCACGCAGGGTTCGAACAGTGCGCGCGTACTGACGCTTTGCAAAGGCTGCGCTCAGGGGCTGCACCCTGTATCTTAGGAAGGTTGGAGCTGCAATGCGTAAAAGTCGTAGAGCGACGTGTCAAAGGGTAAACAACACGCTCCGAAGGACTGAATCTATAGACGCACGTTTATGCACGCTCCGTCAACAGTCTAAAGGTACGTTTATACTCCTACGTAACGACGACGGGCGTGGCGTGGCGCAGCGCGAACAGATACTGATTGGTCACTGATATCGAGTTTCTGGTTGCCGGCCAATGAAAGGAGCGCGTTCCGCACTACGCTGCCTTCACTGCACTCAACGTCGGAGTATAAACAGCCTTTAACTCTTGATTCGCATACTTGCGTTGAGTCCGACCGAGTGCGAGGGTTGCTATGGCGTCGGCTCCAACAAAAGTGAGTTAAAACTTAGCTGTTGCAATGGCAACACTCACATTCGGTCGGACTCAACGCAACTGTGTGAATCAAGGGTTCGACTCTTGGCGATTCGCGGCAAGGAGGGCTTTCAGCCCCGTAAGCATTCATTCACGTCTGACGAAGAAACTGACCTAAAAAATAACTCCCCTGCCTTCCCTAAAGAAAAACAAAAGAAAAAAATGTTTCTTACTTTTTAAGCAGAAAAAAAATACATATAATATAAAAAAAGAGCGTAAAACCCAGGTTTAGTTTCTGAAATGTTTCACTTAGTTGTAAGTAGGGTGTATAATAAAAATCAATATGATGTAAATTGGGACTTAAATCATTATTTAAATCGAACCGGTTTTACTATGATGATTTAAGTCAAACCTTTTCCGCAAAAATAATTCAGCAAATATATTTATTTACCATTTGTCTATCATTTGATGCTTTTTATGCGCATTTCTTTTATATTTAAAGAATCATCTAGCATATAAGATTTACATAAGGCTGGACACAAGCAAAAATAAGTGGTTTCTGATAACACTGGAGCGTTGAGCTTGATTTTCACTTTGTTCGTTCGCCACGTAACGCCCTATTGTAACAAAATCAGAACGCAAAAGAAAAGAAAATAGTGTTCTATTGCATCAAGTAGGAACGCAAAAAAATCAAATCAAGCTTTTTAACCAACTAATAAGATGAAGCTGTTATGTTCTAGTATGGTGGGGATTGAATCAATGAAAAGTTGTTAATTAAACTGTACTTCACATTTAAAGTAATTAATTTTTCCTCGTAGTTATCAAGGACCGAGCGAATCGATCAATTGATCTGCCGTTTTGAAAAAATAGATCTACTGGTAAACAAGTTATATTTTTTTAGCTTTAGCGAATTAAATCAAATTAATATGATTTAAAATAAAAAAATTTCCAAAAAATAATTTGATTTATTCGATTTTTAAAAATACCTGCAAAAACAAAAAAAAAAAAAAAAACTGCATTTATAGAGGAAACTATTGGATCGATGAAGAGAATTTAAGTTTGCTTACTGCCACAGCAAGGGATCAAAGCCTCTAGTCACTGCCAGATTAAGAAAGGCAGCTTGTTCCGCTGCATCACTGCATAGTTGATCAAGAACGCAAAATAACGAATTACGAACCAAGATGCGCTAACCAAATTGGCCACGCCTTGAGTTTCTCGAACTGCCAGTGCCTAAAACAATTAAATTAGTGCAAACAAATATTTTCCGCTTCACTCAGCTCAACTGCTCGACAGTCCAACTGTGTCATTGTCATGTGTCATTTGGAAATCCTTAGAAGAATAACGCAGTCAACCCGCCTTTTTCCCCTTCCGCGCTCCTTCGTTCCCTCCCCCCTTCAACCGACAGCCGGGAACAACCAAAACGCGGGCTGACGTGCCCACAGCTGACCAAGCAAGAACTCCATTTCACGGTCGGTTGATTGCCTCGGGGCTTAAGACGTCGAAGCTTTCCCATTGATTAATCTGACCGGGCCACTTTGAGAGAGCGGGCTCGAAAGGGCCGATGATACATGGGCTCCGACGAGCATACGCGAGTCCGCCGAAAATAACGCCGATGCTCGTGAAAGTGTCGGTCGAAGGGTCTGAGAGGCGGGGTCGGGCCGGAGCTTTCCGCCGGGCCCGGTCTCCTTCGGACTACTAATTAGGATGACATTCTACGAAGCGCGTCCTGACAGCCGTCCACTCCGTAACCTTTGCCGGACGTCACCAGAGGCGCCCAATTGCGTACTTCAGGTTGGTCAACTTCTCTCAAGAAACATCGAGAATGACCCTAATTAGTGTAAGTGGAGTTGGGCGCACGCGAAATGATTGCACGCGCCTTTCTTCCCGCGCCGACGTGCTTTTGTTTGAGGCGGAGGAATACGAAGGTTCTCGACGTGGAAGAGTCGTCAGGATGTAGGCCAGCTCCCGAGAGAGTGGCGGATAATGCGGGATAGAGAGGGCCGCGGCGGTCTTGTAGCGCGCTCTTGGCCCTAAGCCCCGGCCCGTTTCACTGACTCAGGCGTGTCGTCGATCATCGTTTGTGTACCGACGAGAAGCTGTCTGGCTCTGGCGAGGCTCCTCGCGAGACATTTGCGCGCTCAAGTGTGCCTCAGCACACACGCTTCGCGCCCTGTTTGCTTTGGGCATCTGTCGTTCTCGCTCGCCTCATTCCCCGCGTGCTCTCGGTCGGGTCACCGGTTCTCCGCAGGAGGGAATTAGGGATTTTCCCTAGTGCTTTGACACACCGAAGATTTGCGCCATACCGACAGCAGCCGTAATTATTATCCCGCCTTCCGCCTTGAGCCCGTTAATCCGGCGCAAATACAGCATTAGGGCGCAGGAAGCTTCGACGATTGAGTACAGTTTTTTTTTTATACCATACACACAACTGTTCCTTCTCTAAATGAGTATACCGTATAGCTTATCTTGCAAGTTAAAACAGTGATCCGCGAACTGAAGGGTTGAACAGGGTCTCTGCTTGAGAAACACGGTACTCGGAAATCGTCTTCCGCGGAAAATCGAACACTCGTATTCTCTGGGCCTGCTGTTTGCCAGCTCTTCTAAATGCATATCAGGGGTGGTTCCGGCGCTGGCAAACCAAAGTTGCTCCTCTCCGCTGTACGAGCCTCCCGCGGTTGTGTTTTGCAGGCCCGTGCTGTTCTTTGTTTAGGTTGCAGTGCGGGGCTGCGTCAAGGCAGGAATTGCATGCGCAGAAACGAGGTAGGTAGACAAAGAACTCAAGGTGTCTCTATAGTGTTTCGATTACCCCTCTGGTGGCGTTGATATAGGCTATTGAATAGCCCAGTACAACGTCACATTCCTTGCGCACCTCCACTATACTCCGTTTCCCGTTACGATGCACCGCAGCCGATGTTACCAGCCATCGCAAGGATAATCCAGCGCTGTGAACGTACCACGTAACTGCGTGCCCTGTACGTCGCCGAAGGTCACGTGACATTCACAAGGCATTGGATTGGCTCCGATGGCTCATAACGTCCAATGCGGTCTACCCTCTAAAAAATGGCCGTGCGTCTGCTTTCCCGCACAGCACTTGGAGAGCCAATCAACGCCACTTACGGAGGCAGCTCAGCGAATGACGATGCCGAAACATATGTTTAGACCAAAAAACGCGGTCTGAGTTGTGACATTAAGCAATGCAAAACGTCACGCTTGCATTGCTTATTGTCACAACTCAGACTGCGTTTTTTGGTTTAAACATATGTTTCGGCATTGACATTCGCTGATCTGTCTCCGTAAGTTGCGGTGATTGGCTCTCCGAGTGTTTTGCGGGAAAGCAGACGCACAGGCTTTTTTTAGAGTGTATAATAAGGTCAAATGGAGTCTAGTAAAGGGCTGCGAAAATGTTTCTTGCAATGGCCAGCACGCAAATCCTTACCGACGTTGACGTTGCCTAGTGTGTGCGTTATTTTTCAATGATGTCGGGAACGGCATGCGATCGAGACACTTGCGTGCGCTCAGCCGGTTAACGATGACGGTATTTTCGCTGATCATCAATAGCCGATGTTATTCTAGGACCCTTCCTGCGTTTCGAGAGGGTTGGGTAGGTTGTACCACGAGATAAAACACAACCAACCTTGCAGTGAGAAGTTAGCAGGGTTGTTTACCGAGAGAAGTAAGTTTGAAATGAATTGTATACTTGGTCTCACTTCAGCGTGATTCGCAGCGGAGGCTTTATGCGTCAACTCCTTGCTTTTAGAACGTGCCTCGGCCGCACAAACGCACGTGCCGCGTGTGTATCATGCCCACATTTTAACCTCGAGCCTGTAGAATTTAGTGTAAACATGACATAAGTGTAACTTTTGTTTACCTACTTTTTTTGGCGTTACCTATATATATGCCGCTCTTTTCTTAGTGATTTTCTTTCATTCAGGCATAGCTTACTTCTTTCCAAAGCAGAAGAAACCTGTTTCTACACTGGCTGTCTCCGCAGATCTAAGGACTGTTTTAGTTTTTATAATTTAACGTTGTACGTTATCATCACCACCACCACCACCACCACCACCACCACCACCACCACCACCACCACCACCACCACCACCACCACCATCGTCATAATCATCACCACCGTCGTCATCATCATCATCATCATCATAATGAGTGTACACCGGATAAGGTATGTGCTGGGTCTTGAGTCTTTAATTTCCGGGCGAAAATAATAACGTGGACTGAGATGTAGGAGCACAGAGTCAAACTGAGATGAAAAGAGCAAACCAACGGCAGATGAATCGCCTGGGGCGGGACAGAGTCTTTCAACGTTTCACTTTCATCGACGACAGCTCCATGAAGGTCGAGATATAACTTCCGTTCTCGATACTTTTTCATTGCTAAAAAAACGAAAGTTGAAGTCGGGGTCACACTGCTCATACATCATATAAAAAAGACAGTGAAAAAACGAGCCCCCGCATTATTCGTGGTTCGAATGCCGCGTGTAAATTGTCTCCTTGAATTCATTGCCACGCGGCATTCGAAGCACGGATCTCGCAGTG